GAAGAGAGGGGAATAAATCAGTTTTATCTTTTCAGCCCTTATGCAGCAAACTAGAGGCATTTCTGTCTTGTGATCCCCTGGCTTCCTGTAACACTGAAGGTTTTGGGTTAATAGGGATCTTATTTAGCACCCAGGACATTGTCTTCCCAAGTGTGGAATGAATACAGTGGGTTAAATAGAAAATTATTTAGGCAGTGCATGGACAGCATGATACATTCCTTCAATCAGTGGTGGGAAAGAAGTTCCTCTTCTAATTTTTTTTTCAAACCTTCTGATTACATCAGGTAGAAAGTGTCAGCTTGGTGTTAGCATGTTTCCACATCTTGTTGATCTTCCATTTTAGTAAAGAGAGCAGACCCTAAGCCCTGAGCCTTAGACAACAGAAGTTAGCTAGTACTTAATAACCTTTATTTCTGTTGTATTTGTTGTGACATTACTCTCAGGTTTTTTTGCAAGTGATATTGGTTTCCATTTATAGGGTTGATGTAAAGCTTCCATTTAAAATAAACATATTTAAGTTAAAAAGAGAGGTGATCAAAAGAAAACTATTAAATAAATACTGAATGCTACTATAAATGGCACATAGATATGGTCAAAATGCAAGGCTTATTCACTCACTTGTTGGTGAACTCAACAGTGTGCCAGGTCTGACATAAGCGTTGAGGTTATAAAGTAGACGAGAATTCCTATTCTTGTGGATGTCACATTTGAGTAGGGAGAGACAGACAATAAACAAGTAGATAATAATGTGGTATGCAACTCATTGAAGTTTGGGAAACAAGGAGCTAAGGGAGGGGCAGAAGCAGCATTTAAAACAAAGGTTATCACAGGAGGAAAAAGAACCACCATGCTATTGGCTTTTTGAGAAGCTACATCAGCTTCCCATGCTGAAGTACGGAGCTTAGCATGCTGCCCTCAGGCCCCCTTTTCATTCTTACTCTTCAGCAGAATTTTTTTTAACCTCAGCACCATTGACCTGTGGGGCCAGATGATTCTCTGCTGTGCAGGCCATCCTGTGTGTTGCAGAAGGCTGAGCAGCATCCCTGTGTCCACCCACTGGTTGCCAGGAACACCTCCCTTTTCTCCCACAGCTGTGAGAGACGAGATATCTCCATATGATGCCAAATGTCCCCTGAGGGGCAAAGTTGTTGAGAACCATTGCTCTATAGGCTTGGAAACAGGCTTCATTTTACCCTCATTAGAGTTTGCTCCTTCCTTATTATTCCAAACTGTTTTAGGACCCAGGGTTTGGAGTTGCTGAATCCCCAAGTTACGAGTCTTCCTTCTTCAACAGGGTACCAATTCTCTAAACCTGATATTATCTCACACCTGGAAGAGGAGGAGTCACATGCAATAGAGGAAGACAGCAAAACAGCGATCCATCAAGGTGAGTGGTAAGGTCGAAACCCGTGGAGATGGATGTCATTGGAAGGCAATACCCCTGCCCAGTTAGTTGGTGGGGGCAGGAGAGGCTAGTCGGGGAGCACTCCTCAAAGTCCACCTGGGTCAGGGAAAAGGCTGGTGGGTGCTCTCACCTCAGGGGCTCTTTCTTCTTAGTATTTCCCTTCATTTCCTTTCTGGGGCTCATCTCTTCCAGCAGTATGAGTCTCTGTCCTGTCCAGCTCCAGAAAGGAAAGTTTCCCTTTTCTCTAGTGTTCCAGTGTCTCCCTTCACTTGTGCCTTTCTCCTTGCATCTAGATATCATAGGTCTTTCCTCATTAACTGAGACAAGGAAGAAACCTTGGTGTGATACCACTTCTCTTTCTCACTGCCTCCTGCTTTCCCTCACACCAGCTCCTCAGACTTTTTGACACCCAAAGGCCCCTTCCCTTCCCTTCTTAACTCCCACCCTCTTGTTTCTATCCCCCTACCTCTGCCAACATATACACTCTTTTCCAGTACTTCCCCACTGACATCCTTATGGCTCAAGGACAAGAACATTCTAGACTTTACCTTTTCCAAACTCTGTGGTTACAATCTGATAATATTTACCATCTTCATGAAATCCTCTTCTTTGAATTGGGTCACCACGTGCATCAGCAAAGAGCATTACTGTCCTTCAGTTGCAGTTAACAGAAAACGCGTGCCAAGACTGGCTTACACCAGGGGGATTATTAGCTTACAATACTGATCAGCTGGGCTTCAGGGATGGTTGGGTTTGGGAGCTCAGTGATGTCATCAAGGACCTAATTTTATTTTTCCTTTCTGCTCTGCCCTCAACTCTGACAACAAATCCTAGATGTGGGTTTTTTTGTTCCTGTACAAAGAGTGAAAAAGGGCTGGTGTGTCCAAGAAACAGTCTCAAGAGTGAGGAAGTGTTTTTAACAGAAGCCCTGACATACCTCTTCTGATTTTTCATTGTTCCATATTGGATCACATCCCTTTCCTGAACCATCAGCTGTATCCAGTATAATGTTAATTGACACAGCCCTGCCCCACCTTTTCCTGTGTGGGTGGAGAAGTGGATGTCCAAAAAAATTCAGGAAGTTACCAAGGGGACTCCTCCACCCACCTCTGTTTCCTTATTACCTTCTCTTCATTCTCTACTCTAGTTCATTCATTTTTTAATTGATTAATTAATTCATCCTATAGATATTTATTGAGCTTCTCTAGTGAGCCAGGAACTGTCTTAGATTCTGTGGATACAGTAATGGGACAAGAAAAATCCCTTCCTTCTTAGAGTTTTAATGGAGTGATAGTTGAAAAACAAATAGACAAGTAATCGTATCTCAAAATAAAGCAGATAATGACAGAAGGGAGGTTGCACATGATGGAATAGTCAGGGAAGACCTCAGTGAGGAAGACTTGAATGAGATGAGGGGCTGACCCACATACAAAATCTCGAGGAAGAGTGTTACAGGAAGAGGGAACAGCAAATACACAGGCCCTGAGGTTAGAATGAGCTTGGGTATTCTAGAAACAGGACGAAGGGCAGTGTGGTCTGAGTAAAGTGCAGGGGGATAGGAGATGAGGCTGCAGAGATAGTCAAGGGCCACCCCGCACAGCGATATGTTAAGGAAGGTGGATTTCAATCCCTGCGAGATGCAAATGTAGGGGAGGGTTTTGAGCAGGGGAGTGAGGTGTTATTGACACTTTGGAACTGTGCTGTCTAATATGGTAGACAGCATGCACATGTGGCTACTTAAATTTACTTAGATAGAATTACATAAAATTTAAAATTTAGTGCCTCAGTCACACCAGCCACATTTCGAGTGCTTGATAGCCACCTGTGGCTAACAGCTAATGGCTACTGTAGTGAAAATACAGACCATTTCCATCATCTCAGGGAGTTCTGTTGGTCAGTGCTATGCTAGAAATATTCATCTGGCTGTTGTGTGGAGAATAGGATTTAGGAAACAAGCAGAGAAACCAGTTCAGGAGGCTGTTGAAGTCCATCAGTCTAAAGATGATGGAGGCTGGTGCTATGTAGAGTGGTCAGGTTTGAGGTATTCTCTGAAAGTAGAATTGGCAGAACATGCTGAAATAAAGGATGTCAAGCAGTGAGGAAAACAGAGGAGTCAGTGAGGACTGGGCTGTCTCTTGGTCTTCCGTTCTCAAGTCTTCAAAGACTGTGTCCTAAGACTGCGGTCCCCAATCCCCAGCTGGGACCACTGGTACTGTGGTCCGGTACCAGTCTGTGGCCTGTTAGGAACTGGGCCACACAGCAGGAGGTGAGCAGTAGGCGAGCAAGCGAAGCTTCCTCTGTATTTACAGCTGCTCTCCATCACTCGTGATCCCCCCCACCCCACCCTGTCTGTGGAAAAATTGTCTTCCATGAAACCAGTCCCTGGTGCCAAAAAGGTTGGGGACTGCTGTCCTAAAAGATCTACTCCATTCTGATGAGTCCAGCTATCTCATTTCTCTTGATGACTTCCTAAGCTATATGCTGGCTCTGCTGTTTTATCTGTACTCTGCTCACGTATTTCTGGTGGCTGCTGGGATGTAACCACTGTGTTTCATCACTGTCTCTTCCAAATCGCAATCTTATACTTGATTTCCTTGGCTTCAGTTTCTTTCCCACCCAGAGAGTTGCTTTTATAAAGCACAAATTTTTGACCAGATTCTTAACTTCCTTAAGAGAAAATCCAAACTTTCAGCAAAGCATTTCAGTTTTTCCCACTCTGGCCCAAATTTGCATGCCAGACTAATCTGTAGATCTTGCAACTAAAATCCTGTGTTTCTGGCTTCCAAGGACTGTGTACTTTCATAGTTACGTGTCTTTGCTCAGGCTGTTACATAAGCATGCCACCCCCTTCACCACTTACTGAGCCCACATGCTATCCCATCCACTAATCTTTTCTTATTCCTAAATTAAATCAATCCCCCTTCTCTGCTCCTGTAGTCATTTGTAGTCTGATTAGAGTCCTTTTTACGGACTTCTGACAACCCTCTGGTTGAGTAATGCCTTGTACAAAATAGGTGTTTAATATATGTTGAATTGAAGGAAATTGGTAGGCAGTGTGGATGGGGGTAAAACAAGAGATACAGAGCCAAGAAAAGAATTAGAATCCTTTTGCTTTATTCTGAGCAAGAGATTGTTGACTTGTTCATTCCAATGTTTCCCCAGGTTTCCTCCTGAAGAACCATGGTATTAGTTTTTCAGAATTAGTGATCTACCAAGCATGGTTTGGGAAGTGCTAACAAACCCCAGTCCCAGCTCTTTCTCTGGTTTCCTCCCCATTCTATTTTGTTTCCGGCGTCTTTTCAACATGCAGTCCTCCTGAATGGTCTCTCTTCTGCCTCTTTCTCACTCTTCCTTGCTTACTATCCTTTCTGTCCTTTCCCCATTTTCTCCTTGGATTCCCAGAAAACTCTCAAACCTCCATAACATCTATTTTGTTACCCTTGGTCTCTTTCTTCTGTTTCTGTTATAATGGTATGTCTCTCTGAGTAAAAAGAGTAGAAGAACTTTTATATTTCTTTTAGAGTTGGAGAAGAGATCTGAAACCAAAGAACTAACTCCAGAGCAAAACCTGCCTATAGAAAAATCATCTTTGGGATCAGGAATGAAGGATCTGGTGGTAGGTAACTTCCAGCATGTCTCTGTAGGAGAGTCTTCTCATGACGACCTGTTGGAATCGCATCAGAGCAGCCAGGGGAAACTTTTGAGTCCTGCAACGATGAGTGACCTCGAGACTCTAGCTCAGGAAAGAAGCTATGGCCATGATGAACTTGAGAGAAGTTCTAATCTTACTGAACAACCAGAGGGTCTTCTAGGAAGGGATCCCCAGGAACGCACTATTTCTGTAATATGTACCAGTCCCCAGTCAGTGTCTCAAGAGAACAGACACAACAGATGTGAAGTTTGCAAAAGAACCTTCAGTAGCAAAATGGGCCTTAGGAGACATGAGCCGATCCATACTGGGAAGAAACCCTTTGAATGTAAACAGTGTGGTGAAGCCTTCTATCTCATGCCACACCTCACCAGACATCAGAGGACTCATTCTGGTGAGAAATGCTCTGGACGCAAGGAAGGTGGGAAGTCTGTCATCCAGCATGTGAATCTCTGTGGACGTGCAAGAATCCATAGTCAGGAGGACTACCACAAATGTGTTCGGTGTGGCAAAGCTTTCATCCAGGACGTCCATCTTTTTCAACATCTCAAAGCCCATGAGGCAGAAAAAGCCCTTCCCCCTGGGTTGCCCCGCAACAAGATATATTTAATTCGCTATCAGCGGAAACATGACTACGTTGGAGAGAGAGCCTGCCAGTGTTGCGACTGTGGCAAAGCCTTCAGTCGTAGCTCACATCTCATTCAGCATTATCGAATTCATGCGCAAGAGAGGCCTTACCAGTGCCAGCTATGTGGGAAGTGTTTCAGCCGACCCTCATACCTCACTCAACATTATCAACTCCATTCCCAAGAGAAACCTGTTGAGTGCAGTCACTGTTGAGAAGCCTTCAGTCAGAGAACACAGTTTTCTCAACATTTTTGGCCTCATCCTGAAAAGCATGCTCTGAATGTGAGAAGGCCTTTTACCAACTCTCATACCTTGTTAACAGCTTGAAAATTCATGATAGTGTGTCCTAAAAATAGCGAATGGTTGCAAAAGTGTAGGACAACCTTTTTCCAAGAGGGGATTCAGCACGTGTCAGTAGTCACACAGGTGAAAAGCTTACAAAGAGTATGTTTGTTACATAGGAAAGAAGCTAATAGATTTTGCCCTTTTTTAGTGGTATTCATCAAATGGAGAGCCTTGATTTTGACATCCCAACCACAAATTTATAACTGGCAATCTGTGGCCTGAATTTTTATAGAAGAGTTTACATGCACTATCTTCACCATTGGGATGTATCAGCACAGTGCATGTTAAAAAGATTTTCAAGGTGTACCTAGACTGATTCATCCACAAAGCTGATATAATTGATAATATATTTACATAGTACCTCATAGTTTATAAAACATTGTTACATATTATTTTATGTGATCCTTCAAGGAACACTGCGAGGTACCTAGTGCAGATATTTATTCTGTTTCACAGATAAACTTGAAACTCTGAGGTATCAGTTGATTTGACAAAGTTGTATGTGATGGAGCAGGAACTGAACCCAGCTTTTAAAAATTTCTGCCATATCCTCTCTGAAAAAAAGGTATAGTACTATATTGACTGCAGCCATCTTTCTATTTAGTAATCCCAGCATGGTTTCACATTAAATCATATGAGGACATTTGTAGGATTAGGGGTGCAGAAAGCTTTCTTAGGGTAAAGTTCTGATAGCCTTTTCTCTCAGAATTTAGGATTAGATGATGATGTTTTTAGACACTAATTCAGGAAAGTATATTTTAGTTGAACACTTCCTTATAATAGTTCTTATAGAGGGTAAAGCCGTTACTGATCAAGTAGAGTTTTTTGTAGTTTTTAGAGGGTTTGGGGTCTCTTACTCTTTCTTTCCTTCTCCCACCTTTTTAAAAAAATCCAGTTTAAAAACAGTAATTCTGCTTTTTAGGTCTTTTTGTCATCAGTATAGCCAAGCTCACCTAAAATCCTCTTTCTAGGCTGGGCATACATCACTCGTTAAGGTACGAACCCTGAACTGCACTAATCTCTTTCATACTATGTTAATAAGCTGTTAAAAGCTTTCCATCACTGGCTTGAATGGTGGTCAAATACAAAGACACATGGTAACCAGTTGAACTGGGAGTCCAAGAACCTGATTCCTTGCCTGGAAAGAGTGGGTTGTTGCTATAATTGCTCACTGCCCTGCTTTTTCTTATCCAGCAATTTTTGAGGTTGGTTATGATGTGTGGCTCTAAAATCATGAAACTTGAAACACACAGGACTTGTCAGAACCTACATCAGCCAAACTGGTGCTAGCTACACAATCCCTCTCCCTGTCTTCATTTCCAAACTTCTAGCTGAAATAGTCCTCATTGGCCAGCTCTATTTTCTCACTGCAGTATACTCTCCAACCCACTGTGACCTGGTTTCTGATCCTGTTACCACTACTATGAGGGAGCGGAATGATGTGGACACATTGTATTGTTAGTGATGTTGACCTTGATGCCTGATTTAAGGTGATGTCTGCCAGGTTTCTCTGTTGTAAAGTTACCATTTATTTCCCTTCATAATTGATAAATATCTTGTGGGAGAAACTTTTAAGACCATGCAAGTATCCGGTTTGTCCTTAAACTTTTACTCACTAAATTCTGACACAAATTAAGTGGATCTTGCTATAGTCATTATCATTCTGTGGTAATGGTGATTTTCTATTTCCCTCATTCCTTCTACATTTCATAAGTGGACTTGTGAGGAAGAGTTGCCCTCTTCATTAATTTATTTATTCAGTAATTTATTTATATCAGTATGCATTCCTGGATATTTATTCCTTGGGATGTAATCCAATACTATCATTATTTATTTTGTTTTTCAAATGGTTCCAGCTCTGGCCATTGAGAGCTCTTTCAGGTTGGCTTCTGTGCTCTTTCAACAAGCTCACATCCTTTTCTGCAACTACTTCCTTTCTACACCCTCGCTGATTTCTCTCCCTTCACCTCCAGGAAAATCCTGTCATGTGTTTGTGATAGTTTCTGCCTCATCACTATTTCATGAAATCTGCTTCTTTCCCCAGGGTCAGGGTTTACTCAGGCCCTTATCAATCTCAGTGATTTTATTTCTGCCTTTGCAAATTTTGCTAAATCTACATTCTGCCTAGACTGTTACTTATTTACTTAATACATGTTTTTAATTGACTCATCTCTTTTATAAAATTTCAGTATATCTGCTTAAAAAGGAAAATTTTAAATCACTTCAGACAAAGGGTTTTACTCAGGCCATAATCAAATTTCCCTGATCATCTCCAAGATGTCCTTTTACAGTTGGCTCATTTGAATTTGTTCTTTTTTAAATTTTTTGTATTTTTAGAGATGGGGTCTCACTATGTTGCCCAGGCTGATCTTGAACTCCTGGCCTCAAGTGATCCTCCCACCTCAGCTTCCCAAAGTGCTGGGAATACAGGCGTGAGCCACTACACCCAGCTGGCTTATTTGAATTTGGATCTAAAAATGGTCCACAGATTGCATTTGATTGTTTGATCTCTCAAGTCTCTCTTAATCTCAAGCAATCGCCTTTCACTTTTTTAATGCCTTGTGTGACCCTGAGGACCATGTATGGATATACTTCCCTCATGTCCCTATACAATTCCTAATACATCTTAACAGTTTAGACACTCCTTTTATATTCAGGTTTAATTTTTTTAATTTAAAAGCACTTATTTTTAAAATTTTATATTGTGGTAAAAAAACACATAAAATTTACCATCTTAACCATTTTATGTGTATTCACATTAATTTCTTTCTTATTCTTTTTTTTTTTTTTTTGAGACAGGATACTTGCTCTGTCACCTAGGCTGGAGTGCAGTGGTGTCATCATAGCTCACTACAACCTCAAACTCCTGGGCTCAAGTGATCCTCCTACTTCAGCCTCCTGAGTAGTTGGAACTATAGGAGTGAGCCACAATGCCTGGCTAATTTTTCTATTTTTTGTAGAGACGGGGTCTTTCTTTTGCTCAGGCTGGTGTCAAACTCCTGGCCTCAAGTAATCTTCCCACCTCGGCCTCCCAAAGTGCTAGGATTACAGGCGTGAGCCACCACACCAGACCCAGAATTTTGATTATTATTGCAATGAACTGATAAAAGAATTAGGGAGGATTAACATTGTTACATTTAGTCTTAGCATCCAGGAATATGAAATTGTCCTTTCATTTATTCAAGCCTTTGTATCAATCAGTAAAGTTTTGTAGTTTTCTTCTCATAAGGTCACAATTTTTTCCTCAGTTATTCCTACATGTTGTTGCAGTTATGTGTTTTCTTGTATAGGGTTTTTCATATATTTCTCATTAAAAAAACAGCATCCTAAGAACAGGGTCAACTTCAACATTGCCTAGGAATTCTGAAATTTCAAAACCAGACTAACAACGTTTGGCTGTTTCATTGAAGCCTCCCTTGATAATACCCACTGGCTCCTGTAGGCACTGGAGTTTTCAACCCTTTCCTGAAAGCAGTGCTTCTCAAACTTTAATGTGCAGTAAGGGGGAGACAGGCAATAAGCAAATCAGGTGGTAAGTGCTATGAAGAAAAATAAAACCAGGTAAAGGGGGAGCGAAGGAGTTATGGTGGAAGTGAGAGGGGCTAGTTTGAACTGGCTGGTCCAAGAAAGGCTCTCGGAGGAGGTAGCCTCTGAGCAAAGTCCATTAAATGAACACTGGGGAGGAGAGTGTTCTGGGCAGAGGGAACAGCATGGGTAAAGGTCCTTGGTCAGAAACTAGCTTTGTGTGTTGGTGGAGGAGATAGGAGAGCTGCGAGTGAGAGGGAGAGTGACAGGATCAGATATGGGAGAAGCAGGACTGATCATCTAGGGCAGGTTTCTCAGCTGGTGCTGCTGACATTGGGGCTGGGCAACTCTGTTTTCAGGGCTTCCCTGTGCACTGTAGGGTGTTCAGCAGCATCCTGACCTCTGCCCGCTAGATGCAGGGCAGGGAGGGAGGCAGGGAGCAGCACCTCCTTCTCCTATTGTGACAACTAAAAATGTTGCCGGACATTGTCAAATGTCCCCTGCGGGGGGCAGGTAAAAGTCATCTCCACTCGAAAAGTGCTGATGGGGGGCCCTTTGTTTAGGGTTCCTTCTGCAGTGAGATGATCCCTCCCCATCCACACTGATTCACCCCATCCTCACCCAGTGCTGTTACATGGGGAAAAACAGAATGGGGGAGTTGACGCTCTTCTCTTTGGCTTGTTTATACTATCAAAGTCAGTGAGTAAAGGCTTTGTAATTGTTACTTTCAGTTGGATTATCCTAACTGACCACCTCTTAACAGTCTCAGACCCCTTCCTAGACTGGAGGGCCTCCGGCGAGCAGTCTAGATGCCAGGAGAGTCACGTCTATCACTCTGCGAGGTGGATGACAGAGCCCCATCGTAGACTCGAGGACACTAAGGCTTAGAGAGGCGATGTGGCTTGTTCAAGGCCACATAACTAGTCGTGGCAGAGCTGGGATTTAAAACCCCCAGTTGGTGCTACCCATCACGAAGTTCTTATGCAGGGCTATCTCCATCTACTGCTGTAAACCGTGAAAGGTGGTTGGCTCTATCTTACCCACTACAGCTTGTGTATTTAGCACATGATGTGTAGACACATTACGATTCCTTCTCTTTCCTCCCTCCTTCCTTTACTGGAAAAAAAATTTCCGGAATTATTAGCATTTGGAAAAATAGGCACAAAAATCTCATCTTAAAAAAAAAAAAAGAAAACCTGTTTGCTTGACCCAAACAGTCAAGAAAATGATAATGCTGTTCACTGCTCCACCACAACCCTCACAGATCTTTTCCCATCTTTGGGACTCAATTCTTGTTTTGAGAGATGAGATCCCTGAAAATCAGGGGTTTTAGTATTATGTGGGGCATTTTGAAACAGCCAAATTTGCATTTAGCTCTTGAATTTGAAATAACTGTTGAAACTGCCCAACTTTCCAGTGAGTGTATCTTTTGAAAAAAAATTGTCTCTGGAGCAAAGCGAGGCCAGATATCAAGGCATTTATCTTCCTTAACGTGGCAAAATGACCTTAGACCTGCAAAGTCATGAAGAGAAGTGCTGAAATACATTAGAAGCCAGGCCTGGAATTAGTCTGGGAATGGTCTTTCCACGTCATCCTTACAGTTAACCCAGCAATGCCCAGGAAAGCTAACTGTAACAGGCTGAGTCCCCAGAGCTTTTCCTGTTTACTGAACTTTCATGTGCCTCGATGCATTGAGTGTTGCAGATGGGTGGATGTTTTCCTCCTCATCTTACCCCTGAGGAAAGTGAGGCTCAGCTTGGAGATAAGGAAAACTGAGAACTGGCTGTGGCCTTTAGAGACACAACACTTGAGACATATTTAAGAATGTCGCTTACTCTTAATGGAAGTCATTTAAGAGGCACAGCTGTTAGAACAGAAAACACAAATATTGGCACAGAGAGCGTGCAGTTGTATTTCCTTGCTTCAAAATGGGCGAGAGGCTTTATAGCCTGATCATTTTAATTTCAATAAGGAAATTTTTCATTTTCTTGGAATGTGGGATTTTCATGTCTACTTTCCCAAATGCTAATTCAGAAAACTAACTTAGAATTGTGCGTCGAATTCTATCACAGCTGTTACTGTCAGAGGAAAGAAACTTTATGAGTTTTCACAGACCCAAGGCCAGAGATCCAGAGATTCTGGAAAACCAGTACCCATGGATTTTAGTGTATTTGAAAAGCTGACACTGAACACGGGCTATATCCTATTCAGAGAAGAGCTAACACAACAAGCCTGAGACTGCTGTCCTTAGAAAGGCCTGCTTTCAAGGTTGGTCCCTGGGGCTCTGGGAACGTGGAAGCTAAAATAATTTCAACAGTGTATAAAACTTATCCTAGGTGGTAAGAATGGCTCACTGTGTCCAAACTGCTCGTACAAACAATTTGGTTTATGCTGAACACCTGCTTTCCTTCTGCAAGTCTGGAGTTTTGACACGTGTTAGGCAGAGTGTGCCTGTGTGCCACTCCCCGTAAAAACCCTGGATACTGTGTCTCTAATGAGCTTCCCTGGTAGAAGCTCACATGTGTTGTCACAACTCGTTGCCAGAGGAATTTAGGGCATCTTGTATGACTTTATTGGTAGAGGGCGCCTGGGAGCTTTAGCCTGGTTTCCTCCAAGCTTCGCTGCCATGTGCCTTTCCCTTTGCTGATTTTGTTTTGTGTCCTTGCACTCGCCATAGCTGCGAGTGCCACTTAATGCTGATGTGACTCATTCTGATAAGTCACTGAATCTTGGATGTGGTCTTGGGGCTTCCTGACACGTGTCGCCATGGCTAATGAATAAAATCTGAAGGTTCCATATGTGTGATAGGTTTTAGTAAGCGTTGTTAAGTTAGCTGCCACAAAAGGATTCCTCACTGCGTCTGGATTTCTCTCCAGCATGTATCCTCTGATGTACTTTAAGGGATGGACTAGACTAAAGGCTTTCAGACATTCCTTACACTCGTAGGGTGTCTTGATGCGGTGGATCTGCTGATACATAGTCAGCAAGGAGCCATATCTGAAGGTATCCCCACATTCCTTACATTTATAGGGATTTCCCCAGTGTGAGTTCTCTGATGGAGGCTGAGGGAAGAGCTGTACCTGAAAGTCTTGCCACAGTCACTGCATTTATAGGGTTTCTCTTCTGTACAGATTTTGTGATGTTCCACGAGGAACAACCTGTACTGGAAGGGTTTTCTACAGTTAGGCACTCAAAGGGGTTCTTGCCTGTGTGAGTTCTCTGATGGAGAGTACAGGATGAGGCCCAGCTGAAGGCCTTTCTGCACTCACTGCACTCATAAGGTTTCTCCCCGGTTAGAGCCTCTAGTGTTGACCAAAGAATGGTTGCTAAAGGACTTCCCACACTCATCACACCAGAATGGCTTCTTGCCCGTCTGAATTCTCTGATGGGAGATGAGGGCTGAGCATCTGCTGAAGGATTTCCTACACTCATTACAGAGAAAAAGTTTCTCCTCGCTGTGGGCCTTCTGGTGTTACCTGAAGGAGGAGCTCTACCTGAAGGCTTTGGCACAGTCCTCACGTTTGTCTGGTCTCCAGAATGAATCCTCTGATGCTGAAATGAGTTGCCCTCTGGCTGAAGGCCCTTGTACACTCACCATATGTACAGGGTCTCCCCTGTGTGCATTCGCTGGTGCTGAGTAAAGGAAGACTTGGGGCTGGAGGCCCTCTCACCCTCAGGGCACCTGTAGCCTTTCTTTGTGAAGTCACCCCAAGATTTCACTGGGATTGGTATTTCTGGGTAGCCATCACCTCTGCGGGTCTTTATGAAGTTCATGTCCCAAAGTCCTTCCTGTTGGGGCCTACTTTAGGGGGTAACTCTTCAGAGATGTTATGCTTTGAAGGGATTCTGTTCTGGTGTCTTAGTCTGAAAGAAAGTTTTCAAAAATGCAAATTCCCTTAAGATACGACATAAGACACTGACAATGAGAAGGCTTCTTAATTACCAGCTGCGATGGTCAGTCTTATGTATCAACTTGGTTGGGCTCTGGTGCCCAGTGATCCAATCGAACACTCATCCAGGTCGTGCTGGGAAGATATTTTATAGGTGTGGTTAACATCTGCAACCAAGTGACTCTAAGTAAATAAGATTATCCTTAATAACATGGGTGGGCCTCATCCAATCAGTCAAAAGCGTTAAGAGCAAAAACTGATGTATCCCAGAGAAGAAGAAATACTGCCTCAAGAATATGAAATCAACTCCTGCCTGAGTTTCCAGCCTGCTAGCCAGCTACATATCTTGAACTTGCCAGCCCTGCAACTGTGTGAGCCATTTCTTGAAATAAATCTGGTAATATATAAAGCTTACTGGTTCTGTTCTCTGGAGAATCTTGACTGATGCACCAGCTCTCTGGCGAGGCTGGACATACGGGTCCAGGCTGGGAAAGGGGAAGGCACACAGAGATTATAAAATCTGGGAAAGAAGGGTTGGTCCACAGAGGGGAAAACGATAAGGATGAGTCCAGTTAGAGGATGAGAACTTGATAAAGCCAGACAGGAAAATAAGTTCAACAGATCAGAGTATTAGGGCCCAGGAAGTCCATATGGGCCAAGATGGGCCCTCACTAACTCATGGTTAGATTTCAGAGGACTTGAATTGCTTGGATGTTCAACTTTGGGCAGTTATGACTCATCAGTGAGTCATGAAACCAGTTTGGAGTCAGGTTTCTCAATTGTGACACCACAGACATTTTAGGCAAGGTAGTCTTTGCTGTGGGGGGCTGTCTTTGGCACTGTAGGATGTTGAGAAGCACCCCTGGCTTCTGCTTGATAGATGTCGGTAGCAATCCTTCCAGCCGTGACAACCAAAACTGTCTCCGGACATTGCCACCTGTTCCCTGAGGGGCAGTCAGTCCAGTTGAGACCACTGCTTTGGTGAGTTGTGACAATTTTTTTTAATGAAATAGAATGGATTTGAATAGGAAATATCAGAATTTGATGTGTGTAATGAGGATAAGTATTGTTTTGTAAAATTTTGGTTCCAGTTATACGAGGCATCTATTTTCTACCTCCTGGGAAGTAAAATGCACTTTTTTTACCACAGGATGTGGTAAAACTTGTCAGACAAGTTTAAAGAACTCTGACGTAAGGGCAGTCAACTCTGTCACAAGGATGGAGAGAGACTCGGAGACAGAGAGGCAGAGCGAGAAAAATGGAGAAAGAAACGAGACCGAGTTGAGCTGAGATGTCCATGGTGGGCACCCCTCCAAGTACCCCACATGATGGAATTCTTGCCAACCCTGTCAGCCTTATCTGGCACCCCTCCCCGCCTCTTCCACACACCCCAGCCACATACTGGCTCATAACCAGTGTTCAGTAGGTTATCACCTGATGGGCACCTAGGTTTGGCCAATAGAAAAGTTCCATCCCCTGGCCTCAGCAACTGGCTCAGAGAAACAAAAAGTTCTGAGACATATGCTAGAAATGCTGGAAAAAAAGAATTTTGTACCCTGCAGGGACTTCTGGCTGAGAACATCATTGAAGGCTAGAGCTGCCAGAAGTAGAGAGAACTAGCTTGGAGTGAAGCCAACAGAGGAGAAAATAGAGCCATAAAATAGGGCAAGAGCCTGTAAGAAAGAGGAGTAAGACCAGAAAATATCCCTTGAGCTCCTGGATCCAGCCATGCCTGAAACCCCAGTCACCCCTTAACTTTTCCATTATGTCCATCCAGCTAGGTGTAAGCTTGAGGGGAATGAGGGTCAAAGGCCTGAGGATGGGGGGATGCATCCCATCTCAGGAAAGTGCTAATATCCCTGATACCCCTTGGCTTTCACACAGTGAGGTGGGATCTGAGTGGACAGGAGAGTCACTGTCTTTACCTAGTGAGACGGTTCCTGTAGTTCTCCAGCATGATGTCCTAGTACAGGGTCTTCCAGCCAGTTCTCAGTTGCCCCCACTCCTCCTGGGAGACATTCAGTGTCATATCCTGGAATGTGAGCAGTTCCTGAAATGTCAATTCATGGCATAACCAGCCCCTAAAGTAGCTATGTGGAAAGGTGGCCTGGGTTGGGGGAAGGAGTCAAAACAGAAGGTTAGGCTGGGTTCAGGATTGACCTGAGCATGGGCCAGGTTGCACATGGTGGTCCAAGGGTTAGCAGAGCTCATGAACCCATGGAATCTGTTTGTCCCTGCCCCACGCCCATGGGATTCTATAGAAAAATCATGATGAATTCAATCTGATCAAGATTTACTGAGCACCTACTTATACCAGCCACCTTTCTAGGCACTGGACATACATAAAAAAAAACAAAACACCTCTGCCCTGTGAAACCCACATTCTAGTGGGAAGATAGTGACAACAAACAAATGAATATTTAAAACACAGGGTATTAGGTGGTGCCAAGGACTACAGAGAACTAGTAGCCAGGGGATGAGGAATGTAGGAGGGAGACTAAATTCTAAATACCACTAAAGTATGATAGAATGCACACCTCATAGGGTTGTTGGTGATGATTCAACAATTTAATACAAGTGAAGCACTTAGAACTGTTAGCATGTGTGGTGCACACAGGAAGTGCTCAACAAACATTCCCTCTTGTGGAGGTTTTAAAATATAGCCACAAAATTGATACTCCTTTCTTCAAGAGGTTGAGCCCTATTCCCCTCCTTTGAGTGTTGGTTATACTTAGTGACTCACTTCTAGCAAATGAGATGAAGTGATAGCGTGTCTCCTCCTTGCTGTCTCTCGGATCGCTCTCGGGGAAGCCAGCTGCCATGTTATGAGGATGCTCAAGCAGCCCTCTGGAGAGGCCACATGGGGAGAAACTGAGGCCTCCTGCCAACAGCCATGGAGTGAGCCACCTTGGAAGTAGATCTTCCAGACCCAGTCAAGCCTTCAGATGACTGCAGCCTCATGGCAGACTCTAAGTCAGAACCAGCTGTGTGACCTTGTGCAAGTTCTGTGACCTCACTCTCCTCATTTGAAAAGTGAGGATCAGAACACAATCTATCTGTAGAACAGTGGTGAGCATAACACAAGCTAGTTAATGCAGTAGATGGTGTTAAAGGCCCTGAAGTCTTCATGTCCCTGTATCCATGCCCTTGGCCCTGTATCTCTGCAGTGGCCTCGCACCCTGGGTTCGGTGTGCTTCCCCACCTCTTGACTTTGAGTTCGGACACATGACTTGTGTGGGCTAATGGAATGAAGTGGGAAGTGAGGAGCATTACATCAGTTAATACTCAAGGAAACTGAGGTACAGAGAGATTAAGCAACCTGCCTTAGGGCACACAGCTAGGAAGAGCAGAGATGGAATTAGAACCCACTCATTCATTCCACAAGAACTGACAGTGCCTACTGGGTGCCTGGAACTGTTCTCGGTACTGGAGATACAGCGGTGAAGAAAAGAGACAGGAAAAATCCTTGCCCTGCACTTCTTTCTAGTGAGTATAGAGTATAGACTTCACGCTCTGAACCGCTTTGCCTACAATCTCCAGTTTGCACTGCAGGGCGTGTCAGACACACACGCACACACACTCTCGGGATCAACAAAATCAGAGATGCAGCAAAACACGTGTACTGACAAAAACATGCATCACCCAATGATGGTCACATATCGCCATGACCTCACACAGACGTGAACACCAGTACAAACTCATCACATGACTAGGCTCTGTCGATACTTGACAGATACACCCAATGTCACATGGCACGCAGGCACTGGTCACAAAATTATACACAAATAAATGCAGCCCTTGGGAGACAACTTCGCACACACACACACAAAATCCCATCTAAACGCTCACATCAAGTCACCCCTCTGCCCCACTCCCCTTTGTAGGTGGAAGAGCAGGCGCGTGCCTGCATAGGCAGAAACACTTCATTCACAAGCAAGATCTTGCAGTGTAAGACAACGGGACAGCGACCCCGTGGCTACAGACACACCTGCAGAGGAACACACATTCGTACACGACTCCCCCACAGAGCTCAGAAACAGAAGCGTGCAATGAGCTTCCAAACCACTCATTTCCTTATTCACCAGCCCCACGCAGAAACACACAACAACAGACGCACAAAATGAGACGCCAGATCACAACCACATGTAAACTAAAGGACACACACGACGTGCCCTCACGCCACACGAATTTCTGCTCAGTCACAGACAGACCAACACAACACTCAGATAATCACATATCCAAGTCCCCTTCAGACAGTCACACAGGGACACACAAACTCACAAACTATGCACCCTCATCACACACAAAGTTCCACTCACTCATGGACACACAAAGTCACACTGGGAAAAGGACACACAAACACACTCCCCCAGCATCACATCCACAATATCATGAATTAAGTCATTCATA